TGGCCGGGGTGCTGGCTTGCAGTGGGGTCGAGGTGTCAGCAGTAAGAAATAGTGCCGAGCATGAACTCTCCCCCCCTCGCACCCCCTCCCCAACCCCTGCACACCCTTTAAAATCACTTCTTGGGTCGGCTTAACCAAACCGAAAAGCCTTTCGCCTTCCACCCGCAGCCTGCGGCTCCCCGGCAGCCACCCTGCCCAGGGACGGGGCAGCCCCCGCCTTATAAACATATATACTTGGGCATTTGGGGCTTTCTAACTCTCTCTTTTTTTTTTTCTTTTTTTCCCCCCAGAGATTTAGCTCCCCCATAGCACGTATATTCCTCCCCTCCTTTCCATTTTTAGGTAATTTACTTCCCCTCGCCGACCCGTTCTCTCTTCTTTTATTTCTAACTCCCTTTTGTTGGCCGCATACGCGCTTTGGCGAAATACACACCTGGGAGAAAACAAGTATTTGAAATAATCATCCTCTCTGGTAGCATTTTGGTCCATTCACTTGTTTTGTTTGGGTTGGTTTTTTTTCCCCCTAAATTACTGGGGCAGTGACTGACTGCATTGATTTGAGGGTTTATCAGCAAGACGTTTGTGTCAAAGGAACGCCAATACAGCTCTCCTCGTGTCAGTATTTCCATTACAAAACCTGCATTTAGTGGTCTAGAATTTGTATGCTTAGACGAGCCTTCGGGGCTACATACCTGGGTCGAGCTTTTTTTTCTTTTTTTTTTTTTTTTTTCAATTACAGGTGAACAGCATTTTGCTTTTAAAGTTTGTGGTTTCGGGTCCTTTTTTTCCCGCCCTTCTGGCTACTTCAAAAAAAAGAAAGAAAAAGTTTGCAATTAAAACCCGTTCCCCCCTCCCTTCAGCCCATTAATTTCGCAGGCCAACTCCAGGCTTTAAAACGGTGACGAAAATGAAAAATAAGGAGCCGGGCAAAGGCAGGGCTGCAGAGCCTCGCGTGGCGCGGGCGCAGCGCTGTCCTTCGGAGCCTCCCACGCGTGCCCGTGGGATGAAAATCCCTTTTTTCTCCCAGAT